TGTATGTATAGTCAACTTTGAAAAGCAAGCCCTAAATGCAAGTGTTACTCATACGCCCTGCCCAACTGATATGTAGTATAAAGGAATTGGGTTGGCTTTCGTGCGGTGCCTTGCATAGCAAATTTGATGCATATCCAGGATAAATATGCATATATGTATGTATGCATACTTAGTAGTTATAAATAAGTTGCATGTGTGAGTATGTAAAACTGCGTTTCATAAGAATATAAAGGAAAATTCAGTACTTTTCCATATGCAAATAAAAATAAACCTTTCACGTACGCAAAAAGAAATCGAAAATGGAGCAACGTAAGTATACAAAGCATGCGCACGCCCATATCTATAACAACATGAACAATAAATAACACGCAGTTATGTTACTTGGATGCACGCCTGCAAGTATGCTACAATTATACACTAGTAGTAGTGAGTGACTAAAAAGAGGCTATCAAAAAAGTAGTTACATATAATTAAAGGAAATGAAATTTCAGTAAAATCAGCACTTAAGTGTGAATCGCAGGATTGTCAAACGCTAAAAAGTTCCATTTAAATACGCAATGCGCCTAAAGCGATGCTATACACTACCTTTCCTCGACAAAAGCAGCTGTTTGATCGAAGTCGCCAGTGTCCTTAAGTTTAATCCCCTATCTAACCAATAAATAAATAAATAAATAAAAATCGCAGATTCTCACTCACTTGCTGCCCTTCTCTCCCCAAACCACATGCTGCCTTGAATTCTCTTAAAGCACCGAGAGCCGCTAGTCTGAGTGCATACTTTCTTATTTCCCAATCGACTATTTTATGTCGCCTTTTTTCCTAACTTTCCCCTTTGACGTGCTTATCTTACCCTCACACCCTATAACACACCCTTCTTCTTTGAAGTTTGTGGTCACAAAGTAAATTGGGTTAATACGAAATTACGTATTAAATGACAAAATCACTGGCGCATCTGCTGCAAAGCCAAAGCAGTAGTGGAGAAGAGAGAGAGCCACTATGCGGTTTATGCGGTTCTTCTACGTATCTGTATATGTAGCTATGTATGTGTGACTGTTTCCCAATGTGCAAAATCTTACCTGTCTTTTTAAATTGAGCACAAGTCCTTCGACTTGTTTGCCGGAACTGAAAGCCTGCAGCAGGCCATTGTGGAAATCATCGTTGCCATAGAGACCTGCGTGGAGTAAAAGAAGGCAAGAAAAAAAATGAGAACAGAATCAGTAAAGTAAAAAATAAAATGTCATAAAATTGCATTAGATACTTGGCAATATGATGGAAAGCCATATATGTAATACTCCTATATTGGCAGTAAGAGCTAGTACCGT